CGAGTAGAAAGAGTTATATTTATATTAATATTAATATATATATGTATATAGAATATAATATATTCGAGTAGTTTTAAAGATATATATAAAATAAACGAAAACTATTAGAATTATACTTAATCTATTAAAGAAAACTAATAGAGTTAAAAAAATAATACTAAAGCTAGAAATTCAATAGAAATAAGTTCTCTATATTATAATGATTTAAGACTCTAGATTCAAAATTCAAGATTTATTAATAGAGTCTAGAAAGATAAATCACTAGTTACGCTATTTATATCTTTATATCTTAGAGTCTGGCTCTGATAATATCTTGCTCATTCGATTGGCAATGCGTGATCCACGTATATACAGGGGAGAATACGGTATGGGTATGAAATGATATGGTGCTAATTGTAGTTATGTATTTACTACCTACTTAGCTAGCACTCACCGCCTTGCTAGCTCTAACACACCAGTCTAATAAATAACAATACCCCAGCCACCACCACCACACTACCTACTACACCACACCACACCCAGTACAACTGAATATACAACCAATGAGACCACAAGACAAAGGAAGGGGGGAGGAGAGGAGCTCAGGGATTCAGGGAGCTCCGTCTCAGCTAGTGAGCTAGTGAGCTAGTGCACAGCACAAGGACTGTGAGCAGCCGCTGCGCATGATGCAAGTGTTATGATACAGTACAGTACATTACATTAAAAAAAAAGCCAGGGCCATTACTGGCACCGGATTTGAATTGCAAAGAAAAGGAATAAACAACTGGTGTTCGGAGTACAGTATCTACAGTACAGTACTGTAGAAAAGAAATGCAGGGTCTGAATCTGATGTTCGGGTGGAATATCGTGGGCTTGTGTGTGTGGTAGGGATTTGGAATTCTCGATTTTTTTTTGGTGAGTGGTCGAGTGGTCTGAGCTTGGTTTTGGTGGTGCTGAATTTATATACTATGCAGTGTGGATGGAATATATGAAATATATGAAATGGAGTCATATGTGATTATGGGGATTGAATTTGAGGAACTTCGTAGATTCGATTATTCCCCTGTCATTATTAGGTGGTAGATGGGGGTTTTTTTAATCAAAAAAACGAGAATTAAATAATAGCGTTCATGGTTCAAAGACCAAGTTACTTACTTGTTCCTCTACCAGTACCTATCCTATCAACTTATCGTATCCATATACAAAAAACCCCTCAATGTCGATCACAGTATAACAAACCTCATCATCATCTAGCCTCTCTATGAGAGTCTGAGACCAGAAGCTTTGAGCGACGTTACCCCAATCAACATCAACCACGTCGTTGACCGAGCTTTTTTCTTTTTTCGCCATCCCTAGTCCATACTTTGACTTCCTAGCAATATTCCAGGTCAAAAAATAAAGAAACACATCGAAAAGCGCGCCAAGTACCAAACGGGAAATAATTCCTACTCGGTGACACTCTTTGGGAAAGATGGATGAGATGACTGTACGTACCGTATGCGCCCAAAACGAAAGCGAAAAAGAAAGAAAAAAAACGCACAACATCGAGCGAAGGGCAAAAAGCGGAGCGAGCCAGCCATGTCATGGTAATCCCGAAGCGAGGTCAATGAGAAGGAGGATATGATTGGAGAGATGCAGGCCAAGGATCTACTAGGCATGGATTAATGAGTTGGTGTGAGACGGACCGTTTTCCGCGTGTGCAGAGTCTAGAAGGGGTGATGGGTGCTGGGTTTATTTGGTGTGTGTGTGTTGTAAGGAGGAGAAGGAAGGGTGGATGGTTGGAGATGGTTGGGGGGTTTATTGATTATATAAGCTGCTTCGGGGAAGCGTGGTATACTCTTAGTAATATACTGTACTCCGCCTTTCATAATGAGGAATGGGATGAGATGAGATGAGATGGGAGGAGGTTCATTCGGCAGCTAATTTCATGAATTTCCCAAGGGTGCAAGTGTGCAAGTGTGCAGTACAGATGTAGGATATGAAGCTTATGTGGTCGGGGGAGGCGAAAAGATCACTCCGCGGACGTCAAATGCTAGATGATGCTAGATGATGAGCACTTACTTCACTTTCAATTTCTCCCCCCTAGCAGTGGTGGGGGTTCACGAACTAAACTAATCTCAACCACTTGGTGGAGCAGCGCTGCTGCACCGCGCTGAGCGTATAAATTCTTGGCGAGAATAAAAATCATAAGTACAGTAGAATAAAGATAAAGGAAGCTTAAACCCTAAACGCCTGGAATTATAGAATTATCCTTCGGGAGAAACTTTGCAGTACGTACTGTATTGTGCTGTACAATAATATATTGGAATTGCGATGCATTCAATGGGATTAATCTATGGATATTGAAAAGCTCAAGGAAATGTCAAGGAGTGGGATATATGAGCACTGTAAAATCATCATGATGAAATCTCCACATCCGTCATCTAAAGACAACTGGTTACTGGACTCGCAAGTTCGCAACAAATTCAATTAGTAAAAATGATCTGGGTCTAGTGGAGAATGAATCCATGGAGAGAATTAATTAAATAACTCTTTTACGGAGTTACCAACTAACTAACGTTAACCGGGGATGGCGAAAATGCCGTTTAATCTTTCTTTTTCTTTTTCTTTTTGTTCAAGGCTTTTGAGCTTGGGTGGACGATCAAATCATCAGAATGAGGTGGATGGCGTTTTGTTAGCGTCTTCTACACCGCCTTTTTATGGTTGAGAAACTTGAGATTGATAGGCGAATGAGGGGGTTCTCGCTCTTAGCGACAACGAACCTTGGATGGACGACTCTTTTTTTTGTCAGGGTGTGGTTATCGATGACTGATGGATAGTTGATGATCTAATTGAAGGGCTTGAATTTGGGATTGATTGAATAATTGGAATTAACTTTGATCCCGATGATCGAAGGTTGATTACTTTATTTTAGCCCAACAACACAACAAAATCCTTACAAGAAAAGGACGTTCTGAATATCGAAGCACCACGCTTGCTTCTATGTCAGCTTCTAAACACCATAAGTTGAAACCCCATGGATGAACATGGGCTAAGAAAGAGGAAAGAAGCGAAAAAGTTTTATACAGCTATGAAAACATATTAATTGAGCCCGATAATCGGTTGTAATAAACCAAGAAACACAAAACCCCAACGCTGTTGACACGAATTCAATTAAAATAATCAAAATTAGATACAGCCTCAATATTTCGTAACTCCCCAAGTGCTTACACTCGCAGGGTATAATCCCTCTGACCCCACCAGAAGCCATACGGAGTCCCTCCGTATGTGAGTACCAAGAACTTCACATGGGAAGGACGTTGAAGGGATTGGTACTTGCATCTTACTGTGATGGCTAGAATTATATGCCCGCGAAAACGGGAGTATCCGTTCCCATGTCATGTCCCTAAACTTCAAACCACCCGCACCATACATCGGTCCAGACTTCCAAATGTCAATCCCAAATGTTCTCGTGACCCTCACATGGTTGGAAAGATTTTCGGATTTCGACCTCTCGGACTCAATCCCCAATTTGGTACGACCCTCGTGTCCCAAAAGATGCGATTTAGTATTGATGTATATTGTTCGCGCATGATTATTTAAATGAACTGGATGGTTGGTACAACCCCAATAGCGGCTCATCCAGACTTTGATTACACTATCAACCGGTAGAAGGTGTTGTTGATGTTTGCTAATGACCGGAAAACGGCTGTTAAATTCAAGATGGAAGTACAGTATATAAGTAAGTCATAAGTAGACGCGGCACGCAGGACAGAAAAAGGCATGTGAGAAAGCAACTACGCACGCCACTCAGTTGATTGCATTCAATGGAAATAGGAACCTGCAGATCTGGGAAATGTACGATTGGATAACTTTTCGTATTCTGGCTTTCTTGAAAACGCACCAGTCATCCATCTGAGGATAGTTACGCAAAGAATGGAATGAATAAAGACGCACGACATAGTTGCAGATTCATATTACATGAAGAGTACAGTAGAAACTGTACTGTAACGATCGTGCATCAAGCCGGCTCCTGTTTCTGCGAGGCGAGGCGAACGGGTACTTGCTGCTTGCATATCCTATGCTATTCCTTCTTTAGCATCTCCATTCTTCGTGTTACCAAGAGATGTTGTTAATGAAAAAGACTTGGAAGGGGTGAAGAATGAGGCAAAGAAAGATTGAATGAAGAAGATATACGTATTGAAAACTCATTTGAAGAAATATCCGGGAGTTTCTTGTCCGCTCATTCAAGGATTTCGAGCTGAGGGAAAGGGAGAGTCGAAGCATCGGATGATATTGAAAATTGAAGATATCATCGGATTGAAATGCATGATCGGGGTTGTTTCTTCCCAGGGTATGACTGATTCTCGATATTCTCGCTCAACCTCAACCTTGAATTTTGATGAACAAATTATTTTTATTCAATTTCAAAACAATATGTGATCACCCATCAATCATCCCGTACCCGTTCGAAACTTCGAAGTAGTTCTCGATGGAGATATCGGTCGGAGAATAAGTTTTTTCTTGTGTGAATTTGGTTTGGTTTGGTGATACGATACATGATTTTTCCCTTTTTCTTGTAAATGACGAGTTGTTCCTGGAGGGGGGTTGGTTTGATTGTTTGGTTGGATTTGACTGAATACTTGTTACTTGCAAGTCGGAGACTTTGCATACCGACGATAAGCTAGTTCGTTCACGTGATTTGGCGTTAGAAGCGCGCCTGCTCTAACTGTATCAATGCATTCGCTTGCTTATTAGGTATGTTTTTCTTTGCACACGCGTCTGAGAATCCAGAAAAAAGACGATGACTACGGTATGTGAATGGACTGTACAGCACGAATATCTCTAAATAATATCAACTTGCTGTATGAAGGAAGTTCCATACGGCATGAATTACGCTACTGGTATTTCTTTGTCCGATCAGATTCTTTTGATCCCCGGATCTCTTCCTTTTTCACTACTGGACTCGCAAACTTTATGAAAAGGGTGCAGACTAGCAAGTTCTAATTAACTGGTATATGCCATACTACGAGAAGATAAACATGGTACCCCCAAAACCGCCAATAGCGCCTTCAGCGAAACCAGTCTTTGGAGCGCATTTTGATGCTTGGAATTCATCAGCGACAGGGCATCAACGGGCAGAAAATAGAATAGGTTGCTCGACAGGGTGGAGGGAATCTCGGGCAATGAAGCTAGGTCACCAGTTCAAGTCTGCCGGTACAGGTGGCAAAAGGATCTCCAACAGAGTTGGGGCAGGATCTGAAGGCTGGGATGAAAAAGCGAATGGTCTGATTCCAAAAGAAGTCAAGGCAAGGGCGAGACAAAGTGTCAGTGATATGCTGGTGGGGAAACCGGGCTGTATGTTTTGTTGTCCCTTTCAGCTCCCTGTCTATTGCTGTCAAAGAAACCTTACTGATGCTTGTCTTTCCCGTTTAGTACCGATGAGCGTTGAAGAACGATTGATGGAGATGCGGAGACTCGAAGATGATAAGAAAGTGGAAGAGGAGGATCTGGCCCGAAAGTCTAGAGGCATTTTTGATGAGCTGGTCATCTACATCAACGGGAGTACATATCCAATGGTCTCGGACCACAAGCTCAAGCAACTGCTGGCAGAGAATGGAGCACGGATGTCGATGCATCTGGGCAGACGTCAAGTAACCCACGTCATCTTGGGTAAACCTTCACAAGGTATGGGGAGTGGAGGTGGAGGTGGTTTGGCTGGGGGGAAGTTGGAGAAAGAAATACGGAGGATTGGTGGTTGTGGAGTCAAATATGTCGGTGTAGAGTGGTACGGGTCCTTCTGTATCCCCTGTTTGCATATTAATACTGATTGATACATTTGACAAAAATAGGGTACTAGAAAGCATCAAGGCCGGGAAAAGATTGTCCGAGACGCGGTTCTCGAACCTTAAGGTGGCTCCAAAAGGCCAGCGGAGCGTTTATGGCATGTTCAAGAATACGGCCAACGTGGATTAACAGCTTGGCGCTAGGAACACTAAGTGGACAATTAAGTTGTTCATCCCCCAAACTTCTTTCGCTCAAGTTTTGTTCTCGAGTCTTAAAAAGTATGTCGTCGAGGTCTATGTACGTGATATGTATGTACATATATGCCATGGGTGCTATACTTCGGCTGCCTGCTTGCTTCTACGGCGTTGTGCTGGGAATTAAGGTGCATTCTGGGTAGCTGCATAGCATCTGCGATGGGGATATGATATATCAATTGGGAGGGTCAGAGGCGTTTAGTGAGATTCTGGATAAAGCGGTACTATGACATAATATGATATCGAAGCAAATAAGAACAATCAATTGCATTCATTATCATTACAGTTCATTGCTACGCATGTATGATATGGTTTTCTTTGAAGAAACGATAAGGGCATTATCGACTATAGCAATTGATTCTCGTCTCAATCTATACAATAAATATCCTATAAATCAACTGAGCCGTTCAGATTTGACGATGTCTTTCAATGTTCAGGGTAAACCTGAGTATCCGAGACCCGAGGCGGTGATGATAGTCTCTTGAATGCATGACCCAGTATCGTCTGTTTGTGACTGTAATTGATGTCTTTATGAGCATTCAGTAAAACCATTCACTTGTTGAATCAACCACTCTTTGATTATCGGCGTCGTTACCATTTTGAAGTTATTGATAATTAAATAATTTAAATATCCATTTCGAAAGTGGAAATCGAGTTCATCAATATCGGATCGGCGAATAGTTTTAGCGATGCACGTTGCCCCGTAAACAGAAAAAGCACCCATTCACAACACATCATACGAAAATGTTTATCCACAACCGCACAATATCTCAAACATTACATGATCACTGACTCAAAAGAATACACAACCAGAAACAAAAAGACTCAACAGATGGCGGATCCTCTATCGGAAATAGTCACCGCAAATATCAATTCTGGAAGTACATCAATTATAAGCAGTACAAATAACACAATGTCCGAAGACACCAGCTATACGGAACATACACCCATTAGTGGGAGCGTGGGGAGTCCTCCAAGTTCGCCTTTCGTCGATGCGACAACTGATATGACGGATACAATTAAGGAGAATATCTCTCCCCTTAAGAGGCAGATGTTGGCGTCTAGGAATTCGATTGATGGAGAACATATGTCACCACTGAAAATATTGAAGAGCCAAACTTCACCTACCAAATCAACAGATAGCACACGCAGTCCGAGAAAGATGTCAACACCTATGAGATTTCCCGTAAAGCCAACTGCTACTTCTTCGCCTCTTAAATCGCCAGAACCGCCGGCCGTTCTTGAGCAGGAAATGGACCTCGATGATCCAGTGCTAAGAGATAATGAGGGATTTACGAAAGCGGTCGAGATATTGGAGAAAGATGATGACGATAGCGACAACGAGTATTCCCGCGATGAGGGACAAATGATAGACGAAACATTTGCATATATCGGCACTGGTAGTGCTGGCGCTTCGGAACAAGAGGCGCAAAATTTGATGGACGATACAATGGTCAGCACATTCAGCGACTTTTCCGCTGTACTAGACATGACAATGTTTTCTAAACTCGGACACAGTCCATCCAAATTTTCAACCATGGGTGCATCAACACCGAGACAAAACCATCGATTCAGTACCCCCGCTACAGCGCGCAGACAAGTGAATACATCCGATGATTTTTCGCCTACCCCACGCGGACATAGAAATATTAAAAGTAAAGATGATGGGAATACCACTAACCTTCTTGACTTCACGGCACAAATGAATGGTTTTAATGGTCGTGGCCCCTCACCTTCAAGACATAGAACTTCACCCTCGAAAAGTTCGACTACGTCAGATCAACATTGGTATGCGCAAAATACTTCGGCGACACCTAAATCGAATCGGATGAGCAACCTTCTCGATTTCGACATTCCTCCTGCGCCTACGCCTAGAAGTTTACCATCGGTTACACCTAGAGAAATTGAGAGGTTGAAGTCAGACTTCTTATCGGAAATTAGTAGTTTGAAAGCTACTTTGAGCGGAAAGGAGGCTGAATTGAATTTTTTGAAAACGGCAGTTGGAGACGCCGAAAAGAGAGTTGGTGATAGTCTGGAACAATTGCGCGAAGAACGAAATATACAAGATCAACTAGCGGCTGAAAAAGAGGAATGGGAAAAGAGAGGTCGGGAAATGGAAGCTGTGTTAAGAAACGTGAGAGAGGAAATGGTCCAAACGGAGCAGGAGCGTGAAGAATTGGACGGTCGATTGGAAGAAAGTGAGAGAAGGAGGGAAATGGCTGAGATCATGGCTCAAGAGGCGCAGAGAAACTTGGCTGCTATGCGTGCCGGAAAAACTACAACTGGAGCTACTTCACCTCCTGTCGACGCGCCTTTGAAATCACCAACGGAATGTCATTGCGGAGGTCGAACTGTCGAACTCGCGGTCGAGAAGGTCTCTAGAGAATTGCATGCTCTTTACAAGGAGAAACACGAAACTAAAGTCCAGGCTCTGAAGAAAAGCTATGAACGTCGCTGGGACAAGAAAGTGAAGGAATTAGAAGCTGCGGTCGAGGAACTTACTAAGGAGAACGAAGACTTGAAGTCGGGTCGCGATACGACGATGATGAAAGCGGAACCTTCAGCGGAAGATGTCGAGAAACAAGCGGCGCGCGATGCAAGAACAAAGGAATTGGAGGCAGAACTCGAGGGCTTGGGCATTAAAATTAAGAGTGCAAAGCAAGATAACGAGGATCTTCGACATATGCTTGACGAGGAGAGAGTGGAGAAGACTAAATTGGTCCAAGCTGTTGATGAAATGATCCCGATGATCGCAATGTTCGATGACATGGTTGCGAAGAATCTCGAGGAGGAAAATAAATCTGCTCCAGCTCCAGTTCGATCTTCACCGATCCCCGAGACACCCGCCTCGCAAAGGAAACAACATGCTTTTGACAGTCAGATGAAGAGTCCTACTCTAGGTAGGGCGAATAGTATGAGCAGACCGAGTGGATTGAGGGCACCCAGCGCAACTGGAGGAAGTAGGATTGGGAGGGGTGGGATGAGTGGAATTGGGATGGGGATTGGAGGATCGGGGAGAGAGAGAAAGGGTAGTAATGGGAGTGCGGCTAGTCAAGGGATTAGACCGGGGAGTGGGCTTGGGGCAAGAAGTAATATGATGAGTAGTATTGAGAAGATGGGCGGGGCAGGGTATAGGGAATAGTTTTGTGTCGTTGTCGTGGAGGGCTTAGGGCTAGTTCGGTTTGGTTCTTGTATATTCTTCTTCTTGGGTGAATAGATTATTGTGGTTAGAATATTTCAGGGGAGGGGAGACGATGGAGTAGAGGGAGTAGGATTGGTAAAGATATGAATTAATGAATGGTAGGCGTGGTATGGATATGGATAGATGGATGGATGGGTGGACGGTATGGGTAGTAAAATACCAATGAATGCAGACACGATTGCTATTCATACGAGTACATGTTTTATCTTGTAGATACGGCTGGTGCCTGGGCGTTGACGAATTGACGGATTTCGCAGCGCTACTCTTTCATTGATGGATTGAAATCGGATTACTCGAGTATTATACATTTGTTTCAATGCTGGTTTGCTTTCGATTGTGTGGTGATGTAATGTGCTGTGTATGGTGTGATGTGATGTGATGAGATAAAAATTTTGATTTGGGGGGGGGGGGGGGCCGGGGGGGTGATTACAGGAATGGGATCGGAACTCGTAGGGAAGCATCTGCTAGTGCAGGTGCAATAAGCTTGATAATATGATGATATATAACCTTAAGTGGTGGGGCGGGTGTCAAAGAAAAGTATTCATTGAGTTGTACTCCGTATATAGCTTGGGTATGTATGTATGTATGCATGGAATTTGCAAGTCAAATCGGCAAGTAAAATAAATCGGCAGCAGGATTGACATGATTGAGTGCTTGGTGCGGTGTTGGTGTGGTGTGGTGTGGTCAGTTCAAGTAGATCGTGGATTCAAGGGAGGGGAAAGGAGGGGTCTTGGGTGTTATTGAATGGGGTGTTATTGAACGGACTCGAATTGAAATCTGTCAAGTGTTTTGTTTATTATTAAGAAGGATGGGGACTTTGGAGTGCTATATGAGTAAAAAGCTTTGGTTGAAGAACACAATAATTAGTTCTCTTCAGAGTCCGTATATTTGAATGTAGATCACTTGTACATTTAGTTTTCTACAAATTTGATTTTAATTTTTCAGTCTCAGTCTCAGTCTCACTCTTGATCTTAATCTCAATCTCATTCGCATTTTCATTCTTATTCTCATTCTCATTCTCATTCTTATTCTCATTCTCCATCATCTCCATCTCCATCTCTATCTCCATCTCCATCTAAGCCCCATCCTTATTCCCATTCAAATTCAAATTTCCTTATCTGATTACCGCAATCCTCCCCTCTACATCATCAATACCTCACAACAAGCACCTACTCAAGCATCTAGCCCCCCCGTCTTGAGTCCTCTCCCTGGATCACAATGTACATGCATACTCACAAACTCTCCGAAATCTGCAAATCCCAAAACTGTGGAGTAAACCAATGAAGGAGATGATAAAAAAAGAGACAAGCTGCAGGAAACCGAAGAGGATGCTGAAGAAGGGATGTAGAAGGTGGGTGAGGAGGGTGAAAATAAGTTTTAGGGTGTCGAAAGGATCGGGGGGGAGGAGTGGACTGGAGGGGGCGGAGAAGGACATTTTTTTCTCTGGTGGGGGAGAGGAGGTAGTGTGGGTGTGGTGTGTGGTGTGGTGTTGTGTTGTGTCTGAAGTTTGAGGGATGAGGGTTGAAAGATGAGGAATGGGGGTTGGTGTGCAGTATTGTAATTTGTCTGTAGGTAGTGTTGAAGTGAAGTGAGGTACCAGTGAAGTTGTTGTGTCAGAGAGAGTTAAGACCTAGAAAGAGGAGGGTATATATACTTGTACATTTGACAATGTATCCGCACCACACCACACCACACTAAATGAGAAAACACTAGAATATCCTCGAGATAGAATATGTATGCTAGTATAGGTTCGAATCAGTTGATACTAGCAATTCAATATAATATAAAGTATTGAACTATACATAATTAGACTGTGCCGGTATGTTCCAAGATGCACTAGATGAAAATGAATGGTATGCTGTTTTGTTCTTTTTATATGTATCTGAGATATAGCAGTAGCAGTAGAAAGATGGGGATAGAGGCAGAGGTACAGAGTAGAAAAGTAGAGGTTGAAACGAGAAACTCAAGGAGAGGAAGAGAATAGATAGACATGATCTTATGCATCTGAATTATAGTAGTGGCAAGATGAGGATGGAGATGGAAATAGAAAAAGAAGCACTCGAGTAGAAAGATAGAGAGGTTGAGACGAGAAACTCAAGGAGAAGAACAGAATGGATGAGAAAAAGAATGAATTGTTTTAATAAGTATGAGTACCTAGGTATTACAATACATTACTACAGGTTCATTTCAACCATCTAATATAACCACACAACTTTATGTAATGTAATTTCTCGAAGTCTCCTTCAAAAGTACTCGAGAATTACTGGAAATTTATCAAGTTCTACTTATACAAATAAATCTAATACATTACAAATATACAAGTATATAACAATAGATACAAGTATATCTATCATTAGTATAATTCGAAAATAATAAAGAATAAATACATTTGAAAATATCTTATTTTGTTTTATCTTATTTTAATTCAACTCGAAAATCTAATTAAACTTCTCAAATATCAAAATCTTCTTTTTTCTATTTTTCTTTTCTTTTCTTTTCTTTTCCAAATATAAACACACATCCTCTATATTCTTCAAACTCAAACTCAAATATATCGCAAAGACCAAAGCCAAAACCAAATCACCAAAAAGAAAGGACGGAAGAGCATAAAGGTGACGTTTAGGATGATGGATAGTATTGATATCATTGTTGCGAGGAATTTAAGGAGGATGGGGGAGAACATTTTTGGAGAGGGGGGTTGGGTTTGGTGAGGTGAGGTAGTGAGGAGAAGTGTGGCTTGGTGGATGTATGTATCGGTTGCGATATGACTAAGTTATGATTTATTCAAGGAGATCAGTAATCTTTGTCTCTTCTCTTACTTGACTTGACTTGAAGAGAGATATAAAAACAGAAACAGAAACAAAAACAAAAATAGAAACAGCCGAATCGCTAAACTCTTAGATTCCAGAAACAATGAATTCCAAGAATAATTCGAGGATCTTTATACTCGAGTACAGTGGTATAATATCAATCTTCTGCGAGGAACCATCGTGACCTACAGACAGACTATGGTAGTTTCTGCGTAGAGACCGAATGGACTCGAGTAAGTAAGATCTTACTAGAAATTTAGAGTATCGATGTTGAGAGAAAGCAAGACATGGATAGACAGAGATAAACATCGAAAGAGAGAGAAGGATAGACAGAGATAAATATCGAAAGAGAGAGAAGAATATAGGGAATAGAAGACTATAGAAGTCTAGTTTATATACTTTTTAAAAAAGGAATAAAAGGGGTAAATGCTTGAAATATATATTGCCAACTTTACACTACCTATAATTACGATATATCATTTATCAAACCAACTATTCCAATTATTTAATTTAATCCAAATAATCGCCTATCCTATCCTATCCTATCCTATCATATCTACAATATGATTTCATTATACATCCCACCTCGTGTCTACAATCAAAAAGACCTAGTCTAATCCATCCAGCACATCACATTAACCCAAATACCAAACTCAAACCCATTGGGCGGGCCGTACAAATTCCCAAAGAGTGTACGAGTATTTAAGCAAAATGAAAAACAAAACCGACACCCCAGGGCCCATACACAAATCATCTATTATAATCTAGTTTCACGCAAACTTGTAACCTATAGGCCATATCCTCAATTGCAAGCAACACACGAGATTTCCTGCGTGTAGCGGCTGTGAATCTAAATGTCAAGTCAAGTCAAGTCATTATCAAAGACTCAAAGTATGTGTAATCCTAACAATCAGAATACAGCTTCTACTCAAGCCTTCCCTTCCCTTCCCTTCCCTTCCTACCACTATACTCCTTATACTAATACTAATCCATCACAACCCCTTTCCCCTGCACATCTATCAGCACATCACATCACATCACAAATGAAACTAAATCACGCACTAATCATCCTACATCCCATTTAAACTTTACATTTATTCCCATCAACAAAGCGCAAACCCCACTCACTCACTCACTCACTTACTCACTTACCAACCTAACCTAACCTAACCTAATCTAATCTAACCTAACCTAACAGTACCATTCCTTTAATCACCAACTCAGATGCATAAGAAAGATGCCAGAGATCGGCCCCCTTATACTTATACTTATACTTATACTCATACTAATACTAATATCATGAACCTCCACACAACTCGCACGCAAGGTAAAATTTATGAATTTTTGCCAAATCCGAGATGAAACGTAATACATACCATGGAGAAGCTCCCCTCGATTTCGAGATTTAGAGAGAACTTATGTATACAGTAACGAGGAACACTAGAACAACCTATTATCCATAACAAATACGAGTACCAGACCTATCTTTTCCCGCCTCAAGAATCAAGATGACTCGGTGCAAGTAGACTGTCATTGTGATTATCGATATGAATGAAAAGTATTGATGAGGGTGGATGGTGAGTATGCCTTATACCTTATAAATTTAATTATTGGTTTAGGTTCTGAACTTGAGGATGTATTGACGAAAGGGAAATACGATACGGAGAGGAGAGGAGATAAAAAGAGGCTGGAAGAAATAATCAATGGTTGTTGGCGATATAAACAAGTGAGATGTGTATAAAAGAATATGCACAAATACAAGATATATTTGGAAAATTTGATTTAGTATACATACAACCTATTGGTTTTCGTAAGATATAAAGCTTTAAAATTAAACGTGTAACCCACCTATTTAACGCCTGCCTATCCTTCCTGTCTATAAGACTGCTGTGTCAGATCTATATTGGTATATTACCCATAGTTATATCGCCTACACAAAACTGTCTCCTCCCCAAAATGATCTTCTAACACATCTCAAAGGTACCAACTAGAGCATACCCTCCTGGCCCCACTTCATTTCTCGGCACTGAATTACCCAGAAATTTCCTAAAACCTTGAGTGAGTGAGAGAGAGCCCTGGTATTGTAGTACTAATCCTGATAAATTGATCATATTTGTTACAGAAGAGATTTTATACATATCTGGATATCAACGTGATTCCTTGAAATCTTGGTCTAGGCATAATATAGAGATGAGCTCCTGTAGGTCCTTGGTATCAATGGACATCACCACTTTCTGTTGTTTCATTTGAGCTATGACAAACAGACTACAAATACCAGGGCTAACAAATGTACGATACTGTCGCCATGATGGCAATCAAACTGGAATACCCGAGAACTTCAATGTGCAGTGGCTAAATTCTATATATGCTTTCGGCGGTGAAAACAAGGCTGATGTGTTGATGGAGAAGTGAATGGTTCCGAATCGAATTTGTAGCGTTTAAAATCAGGTGAAATGATTCGAAATGCCTAGTTGTAAAGGAAACTAAAGACGAATTGCTTGATAAGCGATGGGCATTGAAAATTCTGAAGACGGAAAGGGGATCTGATTGTATATATATATAGCAAATCTCAGAGCAGAGCGTCTCTCACAATATTGTATCTAGAATACCTCAAAGTCCATTTATCAGTTAAATAGTGGTAAGATAAGCTGATGATTCCCGTTTTATTTCAGAGAATGGTGGGGTTGAGAAACGTGGCTGTCATTCTCTTCCTTACCTATAACAACAGTACTAACTAAAAGCATAACATAACAAAACAGCCTCGAAGCCTCTTTGAGGCCAAGTTCGAGGACTCACGGTATAGCCACTTGGGATATGCTCTCTAGTACCTTCCATATTGGTTTAGAAAAAGGAAGTGAGCGGAGGTATTCCTTTATGTACCAAAAGACAGACCTTCTAGACAACACAATATTTTCTTACTTGGGCCAGTCAAACTTTGGAACTCCAAGTACCGGTAGAAATGTTCTAGAGCGTGAGGTTGTTATACTACTCTCCTCCCACCCCCAAAAGTAGTGGCTAGTAATCTTTACCACGGAGAATCATGGTGCGGTTTTCATTTGCTTTGAGAAGAATTTCGTCAGGCTCTACTCGAGTACAACATTGTCTATCACTAATTATTCCTAGGTCATAAAACCACTTGGTCTCTACAACACTGGAAGTATTAGGAGTCAAAATATCGATTTCGATGAAGCCGATGATATGATGATACAATCGCACTCAATCATGGCGGAAACAGATGAGTTCACTTGTGAAAGGATTTGTTGTATATAGCAGAAATGTCAAAATGGATTTTCCCCAGCTTTACTCGAGTATTGTTTTTGGAGTAAATTGCATACAGGGGTTGCTATGACACATGACAGACACCCTAACCCCCACCAAATCAACAAACAATATAATTCGAGTTACTGTATTTCTCTACTCAGTACCGGTATATTACCTATATATTGCCATTATCAATAAAGTAGATAGGAATGAGGTTATTTAACTTATTTGTATCAAGGCATTGAAGAACTATATTTAAAGAGAGGCGCAGTCTATTCAGAATCAGAATCAGAATCAGAATCTATTCTTCCGAGTATTTAAAAGTCTAAACCCCAAAGGCCTAATAAAGAGTCCACCTAGTGTAAACTCTGTATATATCTTCATGCAGTTGCCAGTAGAAAAGGAGTAAAGCTAAGAGTTGAAAATTCCAATTACCAATAGCGGTAGGTAAAGGAAGAGAGAGAACCTATCATATGATGAAGAACAATCAAAGCATAGTAAATAGTAGTAGGTGAGTTTATTCGAATTCTTGTTTGCGAATAGCCAGTTACCAGATCAATTCACTAAGTGTATATTATGAGTGGATATCAAAATATATATACTCGAGTATACTACTAGTAGTATATAATTTACTTTAAAATTTTATTTAAAAAATCAGTATAGAATACAGAGGTGAATATTTAATCTCATTATTTTTTGAATAGTAAAAGACTTAATACTTTTAAATTCTAAGAAAAAGTCAAAAAATAAATATTCACTTCAAGATTATTATTCAATATTAGTTCTTATTTTTTCTTTTAAAAACAAATAAACCCTCCCTCTATTATATCCCCCCACTTCTGCTGTTTACAGGTAAATAAGCGAATCATATTTAGCGTCCTTACTGATGACTTGCTCTCATCAATTCAGGAAAGAAGCGTCATTTTTAGTAACCTCAGTTTCTCTTTCCCTCCCAAAGCTGCACGCGATCTGCAAAGATAATTCTCCCACTTCTCTACAACTTACCGTCCAAAAAGACCTTCAACTCCATAGATATCTTTCTTGCCGATAGTATTCATCTATCTACAACTCCATCAGCCTTTCTTTCCTAGAAAATTACGACCCCGCAACCAACCCATACCTATACCGGTACCTCTTGCAATCTCTGTCTAAGGAAAACTAGGCCAGGACATCTATCGACGTGAGAAGGATCTGAATTGTTTGTTGGATTTCTGTACAGAGGACCAGATCTATCTTCAAGATGGGTCAGACTCTTTCTGAGCCGGTCGTTGAGAAGGTACGTTTGCTATTCCGTGTCTGTCAACTGTGTCATCGTCGGCGCCGGTATCTCTTGCCAAAGTATCGCATACCCGGTATTGGATACTGGCGTTAAGCCTTTCTGCGCCCGCAATCCTACAAAGCTGTGTATGCTATTCGGGAAATAAGCACAGCTCTTTCTACAAAAAATATTCCGTGAAGACTTGGTCTGCAGCCGCAATCTTTACTATAAACATATATTCATTACCCTTCATGAGTACTGACACTACTTTCTCTACTAGATATCAGCTATCGGAGGCGATGAGAGATTAATCTATGGTGTCTCGTCTATGCAAGGATGGAGAATTAGCATGGAGGACGCGCACGCGACTATCCTTGATTTACAAATTACAAAGGGAAAGGATTTCAAGCCAGCTCCAATCGAAAGCAGACTCTCCTTCTTCGGTGTTTACGATGGACATGGAGGAGACCGGGTAGCATACTTTGCAGGGGAAAACATACACCAGATCATCGCAAAACAAGAAGCATTCAAAAAGGGTGATATTGAGCAAGCTTTGAAGGATGGCTTCCTTGCAACAGACAGAGCAATCTTGATGGGTGAGAAGAGCTTTCACCTTGTACAAGATATTGATACTGACTTGAATTGTAGACCCAAGATACGAGGAGGAAGTTTCTGGCTGTACTGCATCGGTTGGGATCATTTCGCACAAGAAGATCTACGTGGTATGCCATATCGAAGCAAATGAAACAAACACATGCTTACCGTTCCAAGGGAAATGCTGGAGATTCGAGAAGTGTGTTGGGCGTTAAGGGTCGCGCTAAGCCTCTGTCATTCGACCACAAGCCGCAGAACGAAGGTAGCTTTTCATGATTCTGGTACTAGGCTGCACAAAATACTAATATATATCTATCTGTGCAGGCGAAAAAGCTAGAATCAACGCGGCTGGAGGTTTCGTCGACTTTGGTCGTGTTAATGGCAATCTTGCATTGTCAAGAGCTATTGGGGATTTTGAGTTCAAGAAGAGTGCAGAGCTTTCTCCCGAGCAGCAAATCGTGACTGCTTTCCCAGACGTTACTGTACACGATATTACAGACGACGATGAGTTCTTGGTGGTTGCTTGTGATGGTCAGTGATATGCGATGAATCACCGAGAAAACAAGTCTAACATACATCCTATAGGTATCTGGGATTGCCAGTCCTCCCAAGCTGTCATTGAATTCGTGCGACGAGGGATTGTTGCCAAGCAAGACTTATCCAAGATCTGCGAGAACATGATGGATAACTGCTTAGCGTCCAATTCAGAAACTGGTGGTGTCGGATGTGATAACATGACTATGGTCATCATTGGTCTCTTGAACGGCAAAACCAAGGAAGAGTGGTATGATGAAATCGCCCAGCGTGTCGCGAGTGGAGATGGTCCTTGTGCCCCTCCGGAGTATGGCAAGTACTCCGTTAGTTCCTAGGATTGGGATATCTCCTAATGTGTCTACTAGCTGAATTCCGAGGACCTGGTGTTCATCATAATTTTGATGACAGTGATAGTGGTTATGATATTGATATGGATCAGAAGCTTAAGTCTTTCGGTGGGAACCAACGTGGACGGATCATTCTTCTTGGAGATGGTACAGAAGTCCTCACTGATTCCGATGATACAGAAATGTTCGATCACGGTGAGGAAGACAAAGACCTCGTTAGCCAAGTCCCCAAGGGACAACCCGATTCCGAAGTCCCCGAATCCGATTCCTTACCCGAAAAGATTAACCCGAAAGATCCAAAATACCAGGCTGTAGCAGATGAGCTTTTACCACAAACGAGCGACTCGAAGGGAAAAAGCGTTGAGAAGGAAGAGAAGTAGGAGGACATTGGGCCTGTTTGATACATCTCTAAAAGATTTTCGAAGTGAGGGGTGGGGTGAAGATTTTAATGACTCGAGAAATTATGCAGACCAGATTCATCTTGATGAATGATTACTTTTGCGACCATATCTGGAATAGAAAAGGGTTGCAATTCGTTTGTGTTATTTTTTACAAGTAAGACGTGAGATAAATTCACGTGTTGCAATTTCTCTTGGGAGTCTTCATAAATGCTAGGAGGGATACGAAGAGCATAAAGAGGGATGGTATGAAGGTTATGAATACTTTATGCCAGGTAGAGAATCTGGAGATCCACTGGGTGGTGGCTTCTCCTTCGACATTGAAATTTTCCTGAACTTACGAATCTTCATACACAACAAGTTATATTGTCATGGTTTGGTCATGAGTGTGTGTGTGTGTGTGTGTTTGTTATTTTTTCTTCTTATATTTCTCTCGGTTTGCATTACATTACAGATCTCTAAAGGAAAAGGGTTTCTAGACTAAGACTAAAAAGGCCGAATTGCATTGTATTTTGTATTGTACTCAGTATTGTAATGTATTGTATTGTACCTTTGAAAGCAAGCAAGCCGCCAATTGATATCTTGACTACGAGTAAAAATGTAATGTGGATGCGGAAGTGGAAATGGAATTGGAAGTGGAAGTGGTTTGCAGTTTGCAGTTTGTAGTTTGTAGTTTCCCTAATCTGTAGTACAGGCAGGTAGGTAGGTAGGTAGGAGGTAGGTAGGAGGTAGGTGGTATTCGAGACTCGAGTAAATGGGGGTGGTTAGTGAGTGATTAGTGGTTAGTGGATATGGGGGTGGTCGGTGGTCACAGCTTGAAGTGAAGTGGGTGGTGCGTGGGGTGGAGGAGATTTCTATCAGTTATCAGTAATAAATTTTCTAATATTATTTGATAATGTTTACAAAAAATAATAGGAATTTCAAAAAAACAATTTTTTATAATTTAAGATTTTGTTTCAAAAATATTTTATAAATATTTTATTTTGAATTTAAAGTAAAAATACTTGAAATTTGAAACTCTATTATTTCAACTTATAATTATTAGTTCAAACTAGATTTAATTGAAGAAATCTTTTATTATTAAATAGAAAAATAGCTAATAAATAAAATATTTCAAGCTATATAAAATTATATAGAAAACTAAACTAGTGATATCTATTTTAATTTATATATTCTCTTTTAAAGACTCTCGAGTATCGATAGATAAGTTATATAACTATTAGATAAATAGATATAAAAAGCATTTAAGAAGATAGTTAATTATATACTATAATAAATTTTTCGGTTTAATTTGGGTAGACATCTTTTGATATAGAATATATAATGAATAGACACCTAATTAATACCATTTGCTATCTATTAATCTTCACTGGATTTCGGAGGAGTTCACCATCTATCTTCTTTGTCTTTCCATCTCCTTGGCTCCCAACCTCACTTATACCATGTACCCGCGCACTTGTATCTCTTTTGCAACCAATTAACACCCTGAATTCATTAGCGTCCCACGTGCTCTAGCAATGACGATATCTTAAATTCCCGGGTTATTTGGTAATTTGGTAATTTGAGGGCGCCCCCAAGAGAAAGAGAAAGCTTAAAACTAGGTTTAGTTTTATTAGTTTTATGTGAGGACAACAAGACAACTCATATCAACAATCATTATTTCCCTTTCTGCCAATTATCTACTCATATCATCTTCATCAACCTTACATAAAACTTTGGATTAATTCTTTCTAAAAAGCATAAAAACTTTCACCAAAGTGCTATCGTGATATTTACTCGAGCTTCAAAAAGCTTTACTTTGATATCAGCTTCTCTAATCTGCGATACTACACAAACCCTTTTGGAACCCTGGTCAAAATTATTGAAATCCAGGAAAGCTCCTCCGATTATCAAAGAAATACGATTTAGACACGAAAACGCGAACATTCCTTTCCATCAATCGAATTCATTATCAGATTGATATTTAAAATGTCGTCTCCATCATCTGGCGGAAGTGTAGGAAAGCGAAAGCGTACTGCTACTGGCCCATCATCCAAGAAAACCTCATCACTCGATCAATTACAAAATACATCAAGAGACGCATCTGGTGAAGATGGCGAGTCTGCCGCTCCAGCAAACCGAGAAACCCGTAGCTCAAGTCACAAGAAAACCATTTCGGTCGATTCTCAGAACCCACCTGCTAAACGTCTTAGATCGTCTACGCACGATAAAGTAGCGGTTAATGGATCTGAGAGTGCGCGAGATTCGGGTGAATCGGCGGATACGACTGAGAGTAGTACGGATATTGCGAACAGAGTTGGAAAGATGGGAAGGCAAAGTTTTTCAAAGGCAGAGGAGGGAGGGCAAGAGGGGAAGGCAGACGGAGAGAATGAGGAAAATACACCATCGATGGCTCCACCACCAATTGGAAAATTAACAGATCCGGTTGGATATACGACCAATCCACCACCTGCTGATAGACCTGTTCGTGTCTATGCGGATGGTGTGTTTGATTTATTTCATCTTGGGTATGTAATCCGAAGACTACGGGTTTGGGAGCAGTAACTAATTTATGGCAGACATATGCGACAGCTCGAACAAGCTAAGAAAGCATTTCCAGATGTCTATTTACTGGTCGGAGTTACAGGAGATGCGGAAACACACAAAAGAAAAGGTCTCACAGTTCTATCTGGGCAGGAGCGAGCTGAGACTGTAAGACACTGCAAATGGGTTGATGAGGTCGTTGAGAATTGTCCTTGGATTGTTACTCCGGAGTTTCTAGCAGAGAAGAGGATTGATTATGTTGCGCATGACGATCTTCCATATGGAGCTGATGAGGGAGATGATATCTACAAGTCCATCAAGGAACAAGGCAAGTTCTTGGTTACACAGAGAACCGAGGGTGTTAGCACGACTGGTATAATCACAAAGTACGTTTTGTATCCCCTTGTTTTCTTGGACGCTGCTAAAAAATAAATAGAATCGTCCGTGATTATGAGAAATATATCGCGCGTCAATTCAAGCGGGGTACTACAAGACAGGAGCTCAACGTATCATGGCTCAAGAAGAATGAGCTTGACCTAAAACGTCATGTTGCAGAAATGAGGGAGGCTATCCGAACAAATTGGAGTACTACTGGTCAAGAATTGGGCAAAGAATTGAAACAATTCTGGCAATCCCGTCCTGGTAGTCCTGCACGCATGCACAGTTTCGACGGAAATAACGTCGGATCTCTTACGAGTCCTTCTGCTCTACAACACCTCACGCGCCGTTTGGAAATTCCTAGAAATGATAGCCCGGGTCCCGGTAGTGATTTTGCTACAGGATATAGCTTAGGGCTTATCGGTGGTGTACGATCGTGGGTATGTTTGTATATTCTCAGCATCTACTTGAACTAACTTTACTTTCCAGATGACAAGAAGTCGACAAACCAACCGTGATAGCTTACAGGGAAGTGAAAGTAGTGAAGAAGAAAGTGATGAGAGATTATCACCTCGTGATAGGAGCGAAAAGGAGAATTTTAAACCTGATGAAAATGAAGTTGATGAAGTGGATGAAGAACAAGTCGATGCTCAGATCGATGCGGCTATGGCGGAGAACGCGAAGAAGTCTGGTCAATAGATGGGATGAGGAATACTTATTTTATGATGAATTGACCTTTTGATGGGAGGGGGGAAGGGTGGTATAGGCATAGGCATACCGGACTTTGAACTGAAAGTCTTTTCTATTTTTATTTTTTTGGGTTCGATTTTTATGTTGTAGTATACCAATCAATACGTCTCGTCTCGCATTGTTGTACTCGTACTATTCACTTAGATACTGGTATACCTAATAAGGTATCTTAGATACCTACCTACCTATATGAGCTATCTTATCTTATCTTATCTGTATTATTTATTTCTACTGGTAGAGTGAGTAATGGAAATGGAAAGGAGGCAGGGGGGTGAGGAAGGGGAAGAGGAAGGGAAGGAGGGGGCGAAGGGGAAGGAAGGGAAATGTTGTAATGAATTGATATGATATGAAATGAATGATTTGGATAGATATCGGTACTCGTAGACAAAAAAAAATGTAAGTGTTGATGAATTAATTTGCTATGGAACGGAACGGTGATGTTTTGGGGATGTATTGATAGACTGAAATGATGAGTATAATAACATAGCAAGTAGTTTTATAAACTATATCTTACTCTATAAATAATATCAAATATAGTACAACCTATTTATATCGGAATCCTAGCTATACCGGAATGATTTGTTGATTTCTTCGATTTTTCTATAATGATATCGGATTCTTAGCTTATATCGAAGTACTATTTCACTTTTTCGAAAATCTAATATAAATAATAGTAATAGAATTTTATTAATTGAAATACTAGATAGTTTAAAAAGTCTTTGATTATTATTATTAATTATATTATATACTTTAATATTATGTGATTAATTTTAATATATTCGTACAAAATCTTATATAAATCTAGATATATTGAAAACCTTTTTATACCGGATTTAATTGGTCGAATTTTGTCCATAAATCATATCACATCACATGATCTCGACCAATCACCGGTTTTCAATTAATCAACCGAGATGGATAATATTTGGCCTAAGGTACCGACCGACCGGTAGTTCTTCAAGTGGCTTTGGTGACATGACATCGACGACTTTGACTTGACTTTGATTTGAGTTGTTCGCCCCTCTCCTCTTCTAAAAATTATACACATACGGAAAACTTGCGGAAATTACGATAGGATTATAGGATACGATTATAGGATACGAATCGGAGAATACTTGTTGCTTTGAGATTTATTGAGGAGATTAAAGAGAGAGAAAAGAGAGAAGAGAGATTGATTGATTGATTAAGAAGATCAATTAATTGATTTACTTGGAGAAAGATACAAGGAAAGAAGGAAAAAAAGATCAAAATGTTCAAGACGACTCGATCTGCGGGGGCGCTGGTTTGGAAAGGTATGTATTCCTTTCTTTTCTTTACTTTGCTTTGCTTCCTTGCCCTTCCCCTCAACCAATTTCATTCCCCCAAGTGGCAACATACATAAGACAAACAATATGCTAATATTTTTGGAATGGAAAAGCCAAATTCACACCTCATAGATCTCTCGCGGCAATTTCATCTTCAGTAAGGAATTCTGCACAAGAGGTTGAGGCACGAGGTGCTGGGAATGCGGGTGCTGCAGGTGTGGGAGGGGCAAATAATGATGGGTTTAAAATGAGTGTTACGGGGAAGCAGAGGAGGGAGGTCCTTCTTCCTAGTCAGGAGGGTAAGAAGGGCGTTATGCAATATGCTTTGTAGGTGATTGATTCTTTTTTGTTGGGTTTGATTTGGTTTGAGGGGGGAATAAGATGGGAAAATGGGATGGAAGGGGCTCGGTGCGCTCGGGGTGGCGATCGGGAATGGATATATTGTTTTGTACACAATACAACACAACACATGCTAATGGTATACTCAACAGAACCACCCTAGATCAAATCGCCAATTGGGCACGTCAAGGATCCCTCTGGCCCATGACCTTCGGACTCGCCTGCTGCGCCGTCGAAATGATGCATCTGTCGACCCCCCGCTACGATCAAGATCGTCTTGGCATAATTTTCCGTGCCTCGCCTCGTCAATCCGACGTTATGATTGTGGCGGGTACTCTTACCAATAAGATGGCGCCTGCGCTCCGTCAGGTTTATGATCAAATGCCGGAACCGAGATGGGTTATTAGTATGGGTTCTTGTGCGAATGGGGGCGGTTATTATCATTATAGTTATAGTGTGACGAGGGGTTGTGATCGGATTGTGCCGGTCGATATTTATGTGCCGGGTTGTCCGCCGACTAGTGAGGCGCTTATGTATGGGATTTTTCAGTTGCAGAAGAAGATGAGACATACGAAGATTACGAGGATGTGGTATAGGAAGTAGATGGATGGTGGGGGTTGAGTTGGGTTGGGTTGGGTTGGAGAGCTACACGTATGGCTGGATTCATAGAGTGCGCGTGGGTGGGGATGGGGATGATATGGGGTGGGTTCAAAGTGTTTGTACAAAATGTACATAGTCATTTGGGAGTTTTACGTCGTTCTGAGAAAGGAAAGGGCATTTACAATACGAGTACAATGGAAAATTCTTGCATTACTTTTGAAAATTTGAGTGAATGATGGTACTGATTATGGTTGGCTTAGCTTGACTGTTTTTGGGTTGATGAGGTGTTGTTTTGTTTTGTTTTGTTTTGTTGTGAGTGAGTGAGTGAGTGTTGATCTAGGTATCTGGGTGTGATATAATGTATGGATGTGATGTGATGGTTGGATGTAGGGAGTTTGAATTTTATTTGAGTTGGTATGATGGGAAGTTGGATGGATGGATTGATGAATGATGAATGATGAATGATGAATGATGAAAAGATATGCATTAAACTCCTAAATGGATGAAAAAAAATGGATAGTGATGAGAAATAAAAATAGGGAAGGGGGTGGTGTGGAATATTGGAAAAGGAAAAGGAAAAGGAAAAGGAAAAGAAG